TCAATTGAAGATTTCTTGCTATTGCACAATACTGTGCAATTGAAGATTTCTTCCTATTGCGCAATACTGTGCAATTGAAGATTTCTTGCTATTGCGCAATACTGTGTAATTGAAGATTTCTTGCTATTGCGCAATACTGTGTTGTTGCGCAATACTGTGCAATTAAAGATTTCTTGCTATTGCGCAATACTGTGCAATTGAAGATTTCTTGCTATTGCCCAATATTGTGCTATTGTACAATACTGTGAAATTGCGCAATACTGTGCAATTGAAGATTTCTTGCTATTGCGCAATACTGTGCAATTGAAGATTACAAAAACTTTGAAGAAAAAAAATATGAACCCCAAAAAATTAGAAAAAAAAAAGCAAATTTCCAATGGAATTTATTAATAATAAAGTTTTTGGCAAATTTCCAATATACATAATTTAAAAGCAGTTTAGGTGAGATAAACAAAAACGCTTCATCAGCAACATTTTATATTGGCAAATTTCCAATGAAGTTCATTAAACTAAAGTTATTAGCAAATTTCCAATGGAATTTATTAATAATAAAGTTTTTGGCAAATTTCCAATATACATAACTTAAAAGCAGTTTAGGTGAGATATTCAAATGAGTTTCAATTACCAACCTTACACTGCCTTTAAAATTATGTTTTGTACTTAAGTAATTGTCCATTAACCTGGAAACCCTTTTCCCCCCCTTTTTTGCACCTTATTCCTTAACGGTTTGAGCCATAACTCCCAAAGACAATTCTTATAATCCCTTTGTGGTATTCCAATATCCAAAATCTAAATACATGGTTAGATTCAGCATATCAAAGAACCCCAAGAATTCAATTTTTGATGAAATCAAATAAAGTTCAATTTTGGACCCTTTAAGCCTCAATGTGGACCAATTTGATAACCGGGCCCAAATATCAAAAATCTAAATGCATGGTTAGATTCAGCATATCGAAGAACCCCATATATTCAATTTTTGTTGAAATCAAACTAAGTTTAATTTTGGACCCCAATTTGGACCAACTTGAATACTGGGCCCATAATCAAAAAACTAAGTTCATGTTTAGATTCAGCATATCAAAGAACCCCAAGAATTCAATTTTTGTTAAAATCAAACTAAATTTAATTTTGGCCCTTTGGACCTTAATGTAGACCAATTTGAAAACGGGACCAAAAATAAAGAATCTAAATACACGGTTAGATTAGGCAATTACCCCCAAAATCAATCCCAGCCTTCCCTTTGTGGTATGGTACCTTGCAGTACAATTTCAGAGAGATCCATACACTTACATACAAGTTATTGTCTTGAAACTAGAAAAAATGCAATGAAGTTTATTAAACTAAAGTTATTAGCAAATTTCCAATGGAATTTATTAATAATAAAGTTTTTGGCAAATTTCCAATATACATAATTTAAAAGCAGTTTAGGTGAGATAAACAAAAACGCTTCATCAGCAACATTTTATATTGGCAAATTTCCAATGAAGTTCATTAAACTAAAGTTATTGGCAAATTTCCAATGGAATTTATTAATAATAAAGTTTTTGGCAAATTTCCAATATACATAACTTAAAAGCAGTTTAGGTGAGATATTCAAATGAGTTTCAATTACCAACCTTACACTGCCTTTAAAATTATGTTTTGTACTTAAGTAATTGTCCATTAACCTGGAAACCCTTTTCCCCCCCTTTTTTGCACCTTATTCCTTAACGGTTTGAGCCATAACTCCCAAAGACAATTCTTACCATCCCTTTGTGGTATTCCAATATCCAAAATCTAAATACATGGTTAGATTCAGCATATCAAAGAACCCCAAGAATTCAATTTTTGATGAAATCAAATAAAGTTCAATTTTGGACCCTTGAAACCTCAATGTGGACCAATTTGATAACCGGGCCCAAATATCAAAAATCTAAATGCATGGTTAGATTCAGCATATCGAAGAACCCCATATATTCAATTTTTGTTGAAATCAAACTAAGTTTAATTTTGGACCCCAATTTGGACCAACTTGAATACTGGGCCCATAATCAAAAAACTAAGTTCATGTTTAGATTCAGCATATCAAAGAACCCCAAGAATTCTATTTTTGTTAAAATCAAACTAAATTTTATTTTGGACCCTTTGGACCTTAATGTAGACCAATTTGAAAACGGGACCAAAAATGAAGAATCTAAATACATGGTTAGATTAGGCAATTACCCCCAAAATCAATCCCAGCCTTCCCTTTGTGGTATGGTACCTTGCAGTACAATTTCAGAGAGATCCATACACTTGAACACAAGTTATTGCCTGGAAACTAGAAAAATGCTTATTTTTGCACCCTTTTTGGCCCCTTATTCCTTAACGTTTTGGGCAATTACCCCCAAACTCAATTCCAGCTTTCCCTTTGTGATATGGAACCTTGTAGTACAATTTCAGAAAGATCCATACACTTACACACAAGTTATTGTCATGAAATTAGAAAAATGCTTGTTTTTTGCCCCTTTTTTGGCCCCTAATTCCTAATATTTTGAGGCAATTACCCCCAAAATCAATCCCAGCATTCCCTGTGTGATATGGAACCTTGTGGTACAATTTCAGAGAGATCCATACACTTGAACACAAGTTATTGTCTGGAAACTAGAAAAATGCTTATTTTTGGCCCCTTTTTGGCCCCTTATTCCTAAACGTTTTGGGCAATTACCTCCAAACTCAATTCCAGCTTTCCCTTTGTGATATGGAACCTTGTAGTACAATTTCAGAAAGATCCATACACTTACACACAAGTTATTGTCATGAAACTAGAAAAATGCTTGTTTTTTGCCCCTTTTTTGGCCCCTAATTCCTAATATTTTGAGGCAATTACCCCCAAAATCAGTCCCAGCATTCCCTGTGTGATATGGAACTTTCGGTACAATGTCAGAGAGATTCATACACTAACACACAAGTTATGTCTGGAAGTTACAAAAATGCTTATTTTTGGCCCCTTTTTGGCCCCTAATTCCTTAACTGTTGGTACCATAACCCCAAAAATCAATCCCCACCTTCCTTTTGTGGTATTGAACCTTATGGTAAAATTTCATAGAGATCCATTCACTTAAACTAAAGTTAGAGTGCGAAAACTGATGTGTCTTCGGACGACGCCGGACAACGCCAGACGACGACGACGCCAACGTCATACCAATATACGACCGCAAAAATTTTTTGCGGTCGTATAAAAATAAGAAGAATGCGATCATTGGCTATTGAAGTTTTCAAAATTATTATTAAAGATTGTCCTGTTTATCTCCATGATTTAATACACTTAAAGGAAAACACTTACTCTTTCAGATACCAGAATACAGCCGACCTACCACATGTAAGAACAACTGCATACGGCCTACAATCTTTAAGGTATGCAGGTGCTAAGCTTTGGAATGAGCTGCCAGATGTGCTACGTAAGCAATCATCTTTAAATCAATTCAAGAACTTGATAAATTCTTGGTCTGGCAGCTCATGCCAATGTTTTGCCTGCAAAACCAGTTAATTTCTGTTCATTATTTTTGGTTTAATGCTTTATTTTCAGCATGGCAATTTTATTTTATTATCTTTACTATAGTGCTTCTGCTGCTTTGTGCTAGTTTAAGTAACTAACAAATCTATATGTGCTTTTAATGTGCAAACCATTTTATTTTTGCTTTTGTGCTTTTATCTCACAAGTGCATGTTTCAGTGTGTGTTTAACTTGTAAGATGCTTTTAAGAACTTTTGTGCTGCATGTTTATATACTGATATGAACTCTTGCTTTATATGTTTAATTTATGTGTGCATGACTTGATATGTATGTTTTGTTTTATTTGTTGCTCTGTCGGTTTTAAAAGCTCTTCAGAGCTTATGTTTTATACTTGTATTTGCACATACCGACTCTAAATAAAGCTTTATGTCTTATGTCTTATGTTGCTGTCTCATTAATGTGTACAGACATCCATTTTTACTCATTTTTTAAAATGTTAGTGACTGTATATCACAACCATTAACACAGTCAGTATGAAATAGTATAAATACTAATGGACAGTGATGGTATCCATCACAAATGGCCCCATAGCATGTAAATATGTAAATTGTAATGCAGTTTTAGAAAAGGTCAGAGTCATTTTCCATTTAAACATTGCTTATACCCAAAGGAGGCAGAAATTTAAAAGATGCGCCACTAATATAAGTATGAAATAAAAAAGTAGAAAAATTTACTTTTTACTTTCATCTTCAGGTACAAAATGTACATATGAATTTCAATCTTATTAATAGTGATGAACCCTCTAGAACAAAAGGGAAAAGCATTTGTAATGATTTTCATCAATGACCTTCAAGATATCCTTACATACATATGCATGGGTTGTAAACTAAAGTTCATTTTAATTACTTTATTATTCATGATCATCAAGCAGCATTTTACTTCTATGAACGCAACACACCTTCTAGTAATGATAAATAATAATGTCAAGGAGTTTTAAAGGTTGCAGTCAACATCAGAACCAATTTACGTACAGATGCAAAGGGATAGTTAAGTTTTTTACCATGACTTTTGGTGGTGAAAAATATTTTAGTTTCTCGTTATTTTGAGGGATTTTAAAGTTTGAGAGTTGAATCAATGTTTGTACATACACAGGGTTGGCTAAGTTGAACTTTGTTTTTGACCATGACTTTCAATGTATGGATAGCGTCCTTGTAAACTATACACCTCCTAGTTGTGGATAATGATCATGACATGTTTTCATTGCTGAAATCCAAGGGGTTTTTAAAGTTTTAGAGTAAAAAAATTTGTAACAGAACACATAAACATATGAACAGGCTAATTACTATCAGTGGTGGATTCAGGTGCATGGAGGACGTTGATTGGAAAAAAATATTTTTTTGCCTTGATCCGCTTGTTTTCAGTAGTCATGCCCCCTTTCAAAAATCCTGGATCTGCATCTGACTATCAGCTTTGTACAGATCAATTGGCAGGGACCATATTGAGGATATAATATGATAACAAAGAAGTAAATTAAAAAAGTTTATTATTTAATTAATAATCTGATGTCACAAAAAAATTAAAATAACTGTAAACAATGTTTGTTCATTAGCTATTTTGTAAACAAATAATTAGTATCAGCAATGGTTGTCAAGGTTATGTTAAGAATTTGTTCAAAATGGCACCTTAATGTCACATGACAAATAATCATCCTAATATAAGCAGTTATATGATTGTTTTACCTACAGAAGTCATCACATATTTTTGCAAATATTTCAAATCATGAGTTATCTCCCCTAAAATTCACAATTGCAGAATCTAATGTGTTTTGGATATAATTTCAAAAGCGTACACCAAAAAGTTGTGATTGGTGAACATTTTTCCAAGCCATAGATATGTCAACAATGGTGTAATGGTTTTAATTTGGGGTACAAACAATAAAATTACTCATTGTCATGAAATGGCAGATGTACTGCTTCTTTTTTATTCACCTGATTTTTTATTTCCTTTTGTTTTTTTAACATCAAGTTTATAACGATTTAAAGTACATGACTCAAAATCTTCAATAAGTATGTTTACAAAAATATCTGATGACCTAAGGTAATTGTCAGAAAGTTCTAGCTGATGAGCAAACATCAAACTTGTAATAGCCATATTTTTGTAGTTCCAATATATTAACGCAATAGATCAAATTCAGAGCAGCTTCTAAATTTGCGTCCACAGGAAAGAACAGTTGGGTAACTTCAATAATAGCTTTAAGTAATGTAAGCATTCTATTTCAAATATATATGTTGCATAAACAAAAAATTTAAATGCATCCTATGGATGGCTGACTAGAAATATCTAAATATCAATCTAGTTTCCATTTTGTCTCCTCAGTTCCAATATTTAAGTACAAAATGCAACTTTAAGTTTAAATGCATGTTAAAAAATACTACTAGCTTCATACAATTTTGGACATTTTGTCATATATGCCCAATATATATATTTTTTATTTGACAAAATAACAATTGCTGATATTTTACTGTTCTACACAAAAAATATGTTAACAAATAATAAATAACAAAAACAAAAAAATGGATGTCATGGTTACTAAATGGTTGCTAAGATACTACATTGTATCTGAGTAGGAATTTGTGTTTGAAACATGGAATATATCAATCGTTATGAAAATGGAACTATTTTCAACTGGTGGTATCTAAATTAAGAATTTTTCATGCAAGTCTCACAAGCACCTAAATTAGGAAAAGTTATAGAAAAGCAATGCAGAATTTCAAAAATGGTCAAAAAATTTTATATATTTTTTTCCATCATGAATTTGTAGAAGACGATATTATCTAGCAGTAATTTGTTATGGCAGCTCTGAGCAAAAAAAGTTATAACATAAAATTAATATTTCTAACTTTTAATATAATTATATATATATGTAACAAATTTAACAAAAAATAAATGCTAACAGCCTACATTTGTACTGTACATAAGTTATCATGTTAGCTTCAGCAAATTCTTTGTATTTCTTTTTCTTATTGTTATAAAGTTGAGGATTATTACTAATTTTTATAAAGTTGAGGATTATACTAATTTTTGTAAAGTTGAGGATTATCAACTGGTACCTATTCTACAAATGTTTAAGAATATTGTCAGAAGGATATAAACTGGTAAAAATTCTACTGTTTAGGAATATCATCTGCAAAATATCAACTGGTACCAATTCTAATTCATCTGATGCTCAATTCAACTAATAACATTTCTTCAATTACGCACACAAGACTTAACATTTTGGAAATTTAAAAAACATTGATAAGCCTAAATAATCAAAAGAATCAAAAAGTGAAACTTAATCCACTATTAAATTAGAGCTATGTATATGTATAACCAGTTCTAAATTGCCAAAGGAAGACAACAAAATCTTCAATGATTTCTGTTTTTCAAGAAGAAAGAATTATCATTTCTAATATAACATATATGTAACTCATCAAGTAGTTCATATATATCTAATATATTTTGGAAATTTTATAAAAATTTACTTATAAATCAACCTAAGAAAAACAAATGTTACTTCTTATTGAGGAATACAAAGAAAATGCTAAAATAAACAATATGAAACTTGCATATTCACTAAAAATTTGTTTATTACAATGAGACAATGGTTCTCCATATAATCATCCAACATATATACACAATGGGACTTTTAGCAGGAGTCTGCCTGAGTTTAATACAAAATATATTTGCGTATTAACACAATAAAATTCATGCGTAATATTTTTCAAATATATATAAAAAATTGGACCCAATATAAGACTGGAAGGTTTCAACCAATCAAAAGACAATGTCACTATGACTGCACCATACATTACATGAAAATTTGTCCCGTCAGTGGACATCGTCATGGCAACATAGCTAAAAATAACAACAGACACTCACCAAAACATATTTTTAAATTAACAATTTCTTTTTTAAATCAAGTATTTAACAAAGTTATACACAGAGTTTCAATTCAAAGTCCTTTAATATTAATGATAATTCTTTGTCATAATTTCTATTTTTAAATATCTTTTTAATGAAAAATTGAAAGAAAAAAATATTTAATTAAAAAAAGGAGAAAAAAATACTTAAAAAAAAACTTAAAATGACAATTTAACAAAATTTTATAATTTATAAATTAATAAGTCTGGTCAAGGACAAATGCCAAGTGAGTGCATATAGTCAACAGTTTTGTAGTTCTGTCAAAAAACATGGATGGATCATATTTATCGATTACATAAAAGCACTATCACAACTACTTCACTAACACCTGAACAGACACACAAACATGTATACTTCTAGCACCAAAATAAAATAAACACCTAATTGAGTGTCTAAAAAAATCCACTCAGATGAGTGTTTTACAAAAGTTAACAACTATGCAAAGTGTTATAAATTTAGATAAGTATTATAAACACTTACTTCAGAATTTCATTCTGCTGTTTATAATTGAATGGGTAAATATCTACCAGTTCATTTTCATAAATAATATAACTTTAAATTCAAAGTCAACATGCAATTTCTGTTTAAAGTTTCTATTCAAAGGCAGATAATGAGAATAATTCAAATGGCACTCAAATTTTTTCAATGCAAAAAAAAATAATAAAAAAATATCTCTTGATATGAATTCTTTTATGCACAATAAAGTGAAATAAAATTTTTATTTCAGCAATTTTTTTTTCAAAATATATAAAACTTATATGTCATTATCATTTATGAAAATAAACTGTATATTTCAAATCATTCAATATTTTCGTTCTCAATGAACACATATAAAATGCAAGTACTAACCACAGAATGATACACTATCAATTTACCGTCTAACATTTTTTTTTTTAGTCATCAGTCCTGTTTACTTCAAGCACTCTTTCGTACAATAAAATAAAGAAAAACAACAATATATGAGACCCTGCTGCCATTTGTTCATACATAACATAACACAGTTACTATGACGTTGCAGCTTGTTGCAGACTACTGTTTCCATGGGAACTATTTCTATTTGTTGAATTAAATGATGAGGATTCCCTACTAATGTCAGAGGAAGCGTCAATATTGTCACTAAATTCACCATCACTACTGTCCATTGGTTCTTCACCGTTCACCATGTTTTCATTGTTATGGTGGATGCTATTGTGGAACGTGGATGGAGATCCATTCATTGTTGGGTTGCCATTGTCAAAAGGTGACCTTGATGTGGTTCCTCCTTCTCCTACAGAAAAGTAAAGAGTGATTTACTTAAAAACATATACCAGTAAATAATAAATTAAGCATCAAAACTTCATAATGTTATTCATGACATTATATTCACTTAGATTTAAGAGTAAGAAGTTGTGAATAAAAGAAAAGGAGATAGAACAGATTTGTTTTCAATGTTATTCATATCTGATAATTTTACATCATTTTTATAGAAAATATTTTTCAATTTATTTCTAAAAAGTTAGAGTTATCTCCCATTGATAGAGAGGAGATAAAAAGTTTTAAAGTGGTGATAACACATTTTATTTTAGAGAAACAATTTTCATTTTTTATTAAAAAAATAAAGTGTGAATTATCCAAAATGGATAGAGAAAAGACAGAAGGTAAAAGTAATTTTATAAAGTTTTAAAACTGTTTTTTTGAAACAAATTATTACATTTTACTGCAAAGAATCAAAGAATCAGATAATAAATAGAATATATGTTTTTTTTTTAACAAAATGAGAGAAAATAGGAAATATTTGCTTGTGCCAACTTTTCTATTTTGAAAAAACATACATGCATTAAAAATTATTTCTTTCAAAAAAACCTTCCTTAAAGACTTTGCTTACCATTATTGAGTAATCCCTCTACATAAGTAGTACCAGAATCACCGTACCAAACACGTCTGATATCTTGTCGTCGTGACCTCATTAACTGTTTGTATTCAGAGATGCGTAATTTCTTTCCATCAACAATGCAAGTTCGTTTGGGTCTAGGTCTGTAAAATTAAAGGAAGAGATCTTTTTTACATGAAATTATAAGATATTGTTATTTTGCAATAATGTAGTAATTATATAAGCAAAATTCACATTTAGAAATCTAATGTTCTTATTCTGACATTGCAATCAAGAAAAATTATTTTCTATGGTAGTCTACTTAATTATTTCATTATTCAAAAACTCATTTGTGTCTGTTGTATATCTAAATACAAATTTTGTTCCATGTAAAAATTATTTGAGTTACTTCCCCTTAACTCTAATTTGGGAAGTGCTGGTGGATTTTTTTTTCCAAATTCACAGGGAAAACAAGCACGAGACAAAGAATGATTTTAGATGAAAGAACATGCATAAAATTTTCCTTTAGTTGTGGTTTATAATATCATGCACAATAGAAATGGTTAGTGGCGGAGTCCTTTTTATTTGAACGATGTGAAGCAAACAATTTATCAAATTATAATTCTAGCTCCTCTTTTTATTGAAAGCTCCACTATTAGAGGAAGTTATAAAGGAAGATGCCATTACCTGTATCTATAATCAGGATGAGCCTCCATGTGTAATTTACTGAGTCGAGATTGTTCTTCATAGTAGGGTTGTTTATCTGCATTTGTCATAGCCTTCCATTTCGCTCCTAAATTATCAAAAATTCGAAAATAAATAAAACATTTGCTAATTTAATGCCATTTAACTTTAAATTTACTACACTATTAAACCAAAGTAATTGTTAATTGAAGGTAAAAATAACAATAAACGACCATCTGTTCCTTTTTTAAACATGGATTTAGCAATAATTCAAATTTCTTTTAACTAAAGAAATTTACATTTCCTTTATTTGTTTACATAATAACATATTCTTATCAGCTGTTTGGTTGTTTGTTAATGACATCAAAGACGATGTTTTCATTGATGTACTGACAATATTAATGAAAATTTCAGACAAACACATCCTAGATAAGTTGTCAAAAAATATTTCTTAAAATCAATTACTACAACTAAAAGTACAAATCTTCTTTCAACTATAGTAATATTTAGTAGCATACAATAGTTTTCATTTTCAAAGCTTAGATGAAGAATATTTAGCTGCATTTTTGGTTAGAAGATTTGTAAAAAAAAACTAAATTTGAAGTGATCGTTACAATAATTTAACATAAAAAGGCTGTTAAAATCAAATTCAATAGAATCTACTTTCATACCTAAAATTTTACTAATGTTGGAATTATGCATATCTGGGCAAGCCTTGAGAATTTTTCTCCTTTCTTCTCTTGCCCATACCATGAAGGCATTCATTGGACGTTTAATGTGTGGCTTTGCAGGCTCTGGTTTGTCTTTTGGTGAGCGAATGATTTTGGCGCCAAACATTTTACCTAAAATAATGAAAAGCATGTTGAAACATTTGTCTTTATACTACATTGTTAGTGGTATTTGGTCTATGAAACTATGGTTATTACTAAATAAATTTAAATTGATTAGGTATGTACTTTGAAGACATTCTACTGAGGAAAATGTAATTTGTCACTAACAACATTTTTGTAAGACATTATATGGTGAAACATATGAATAATTCAACTGTCAAGATGAAGAACAGGAATAAAAGCCCTGTTCATTGGCAATTTTATGTTTTCTATGTATTGTGTGCGATTTTGTCCCATGTACATTTACTCCATATCCTTTCATTTTCTATACATTTGACTGCAAATCAAAATCACTGGTGATCTATGATCTATTCTTTAATATTAAACTTGTTTCACATAAAATTGTAATTTGGAAATATATATTTAAAATAAATATTGTAAATAAAATTCGTCATGTATATTTAAGGGATAGAAAACAAATTTGATTATTGATTTATATATAAGTGAGCCACCTATGTAGAAAAGTTAATAAAATTCCAGTTTCACTTTTCTAAAGGATAACATTTTGATTGAACAAAAATGCAGAATATCTGAATTCATATTTTGGCAAACTCTCTTTCTTCAGATTAATCACTTATTTCATTATATTAATATTTAAAACACCAGTTTAATATTAAAATGGTCCTACTGCTTATAAACACGTACTTTGCAAATGTTGGACATAGCTACTGCTATTCTGACTGTCTTCATCCTGAGGATCTGACCTTTCCTTGACCCCTGGTAACTGTGGCATTTGTGGAAGATGTGCACCAGCAAACATAGGCAATCCTGCAAACCCTGGAAAAACTGGTGTACTAGCAGACTGGGCGAGATGTTTAGCTAGTGCATCCTGAACCAGTGACTCCTAGAGAATAGAATAAAATAGACAGAGTTATTTCCCTTATACTGTTTCAGTTTATATGTCATAAGGACATGACTGATATTGAACTGAAAGAGGAAAATTTTCACTTCCTCTGACAAATGATCATATTTTTTGTGTTGTTCATTGAAATCTAAATATTTTTGCGTCAAACATTTTTTTTTGGAAAACAGAAAAGAGAATATTTGAGCTATGATAACATCATGATAAACAAATTATAACAATTCATACAACTTCTAGGAAAATAATTTGACCAATGTAATTTTCAGCATTTTCATCCCAAAATTTCATATTTTAGTTATTGAGTCCAGCATAGTCAGTAAGATAATAACAATATTATACCTTGTCTAGATGTTTTCCATTGAAGATAGGTGGGCGTGCAGTGAAGTTGGTAAACACATTAGATGTCATTGGGTTCATCATGAAGGGATGGTACTGAGGGAATCCAAATGGGTTTCCAACTCCCATGAAAGGAGGTGGAGTTTCTGGAGGAGGCGAGGAAGGTGTAGGTTGTCTCCTATGATGGTTGTTGTGAGCAGGAGGAGGAGTCATGACATCTGACTTTCCACGGTTGTATGTTTCATAATCATCTTTGACCTCAGTTTTGGGCTTTGAGAGATTGAGTGGTATTTCTTGTCTGGCTGGATCTGTCCACAGAGGTGAAGGACAAGTCTGAGGACTTGGTTGTCTCATGCTTGGTGAGGTCTGTGGAGATACCTTATATGGTGGTGATGCAGTCAGAGGTGATACTGAACGTCTCTTCGTATCTATGGTTACAGGAGATGAACTTTTGGAAGACACATGGGACGAGGTCACTGAAGATGGAACTGTAAAATAGAAAAGAATAATTAAAATAATTTGTCGTTGACAGAATAAATGCCAAGTATGAAAATGTATAGAGTTTTTTTCCACAGAATATGACATCAATTTTGAAAGAATAATGCAATTGTGTATTGAAATGAAAAAACATGTCGAAGTTCATTTCATTTTCTGTATTTAACTTCTTTTGTATGTTAGAGTGATATCATAAACAATTGCTTTAAATAGCTGATAATAGTCACCAGCAAAACCTATTTTCCTTCAAAAGGATTTATCATATCTTAACTAGGAATGGTACAGCAACACCAGTCCAGAACTATATCAACCATTACTATAAACAAAAAATTCAGGAATATGCTGGTCCTTTATTGGAGTAAAATATTCTTCTTTTTGTTATAATGGAGCAATTCATTTTACACTCAATAACCACCCATTTTTTTAAAATTCTTTGCCATTCAGCTTTTCTCAGATAACAATCTTTCTAAATACACTGAAACAATAAATTTCATATTCCATCAGTGTAGCAAGAAACAGTGGCAGAACAAAATCCCATCAAAACCGTTTATTCATCTAAATCTTAGAATGAAATCTACCAAATGGCAGAAGAAAGAGCGATGACAGGCATTTCAAAATGAACAGCATTAAAATTCTCAATAAAACCACAAGCAATTGATGTCTGACATGCAGACGATTATCTCCCCCTTATCTCTACATGATCTGTGTGGTCTTAGTCTTATTTATGTTTAATTGATACTTGTTTTAAGTTCAGTTTAGATGCTTTTATTAGTTCTGACAATGACCAATTCTTTGATAATTAGAAATTGCTACTGTTTTTCTTCTGATAATTAAAGTCATAAACAAAGCTATGAACATTAAATGGATACGCCTGTCAGGGCAAATTTCTTGAATTGTGGCAAGAAATATTCCAATGTGTACACATCTGGTCCTTTTTTAATATACTTGTCACTTGTGAAATTTGAATTACTTTTTTAATAACTTTTGAAAAATTCATTATATTCAATTGATTGAATGATTGATTGATCGATTGTCAGCAGCTAAATCTAAAACTAAATTTTTAAATGAAATTCTGGATTTCAATTAATTGCTGTCTCCTTTGCAAGTATGCAATATCTTTTTTTGTTCAAATCGATAAATTTGTGAAGACCTTCCAGCACATAAATGTCTTACAAACAGGTCACCTTGTCAGGATCCTGGTCTTATTAGACAGGTTTTATTAAAATAAAGACAACCAAGCCTTCAAATCGTCAGGTCGGAAATGGAGAAAACTGTAATCTGAAGTCATTTTTCCTAATTTATGTTACACCTATCACTTCCCTTAGATAAATAAACCTATTTACGAGACAACCCCAAACTTAAGGAAACAAAGAAAAAACTAATCTTCAAAACTTTTTGTCCCTTAAATCAACAGAAAAATAAAAGCTAGTGTGATCATAATTCATTTTTATCTTTTTGCAATGAATGAGTTATACGAAGGCTAAATTTATAAGGCTGTCATGATAAGATATTAGTGGCTGAAATTTCTTGTTTATTCTACGATATAAACTATGATAGATACAGGGACCCGATTCTTTTCTCCCTGGCATTAAATGAATAATATCAAAGCCTAGATTGAATAGCTATAAGAATTATTATCGGTTATCCATGAAAACAACAGGCGCATTTTATCAACGCTTGGCACATCATTATTCAGCGGCTAAAACACAATTTCTAGGGGTTACCGAAAGACAGAGATTCCAAATGAATCTGACTGACCTTGTATCAATGTTTCAAATTTTTCTTTGTCTCTCTCATTTCTCATTGTCAGCTTAGAGACTAGTATTTGTAGTATAATCGTTAAATGAGTGATCGAAATGATTTAATCATTTACTATTGTGATATACCCTATGATCAACAAAGTTGTCTTTTGTCCTCGTTTGTCACGTCAAATTCACTTCATTAAGTGAGTTAATTAAAGATAGTAAGTCATGAATCAACGTCATATTCAATTAATTGGACTCGATCCGTATCTAATTTTTTTCCACTTCAATTGTTAATAACGTTTTTTTTCTCACTAATTAAATTTAATCCAATAAGGAGAAGATAACTCTATTATGACACCTTATTCAAATATTTGTCAACAAATGCAGCAAAGATTGAAATCGGAGGGACAATGACGAATTATGTGTCCGCAGAAGACGCATGTATACAGTCAACTTTGTTGGTTTATCAAATCAATTGAAAACATAAGATATGACTAGTCGTCATAATCAATTACAAATCTGCCAAAGACATTTGATTGATCATTTTCTTCGGGGGAAAAAAATCTTGTTCGTTGTGTGAAAAACAACAAATATATTTAATGTTTGTCTATAAAAAATCAATGTTGCTACTTAAATATCAATCAGTGCATTTGTTTGGTGCTAAATTGATTAATTTTATTGGAATAATTGTTATATAGCGACGATTAACGTCAAAATGTCGGTGGATAATACCACATCAATTTTTTGTCAAAACAGACAGCGATTGAACTTAAAGTGCAATAATAGAGTATTTATATGACAAAAGACATCGGGTAATTCAATTCTATAAAAAGTAATTATATCTTGCATTGTGAAATCATTTTTTTAATTAAATCCCATCCTCAATATTTATTTGTTGAATCCTGTAGAAAAATTTTCAATAGACAAGCAAAAAGTAATTGTCATTCAGAAAATAAATATACAAAAGAATTGTTGTCAATTACAATGAGCGTCATAAAATCATCAAATGCAATTAATTTATTTTTTATTTTTTTCATTTCGTTAAAAAAATTATATATACTTTACATTTCAATTCCAGAAGAAAACTGGAAGACAATTTTGAAAAGTTGAAATCAAAATTTGCATTGCAAACCTAACGAGAAAACACATGAATTTATGAAAAAATGATGCAAATTTTCATAAATAATTACATTAATAAGTTAAATATTTATGACCTATCTCTCAAACATCATACACAATTACAAAAACCTGCAATTTTTCTGTGTTTCTTTTGCTAACAAATTATTCCTGAGACATAAACAGACATGGAATCATATTTACACAAGAAAGAATGCAGTTTATCAAATCTCTCAGTGGTGACAGAGATAGGCCACCTGTTATCCCAGGGGTCAGATTATTGTGGCCCCAGGGGGCTTCTGTTCACAAGGATGTTTATCTAGGAACAAACAATAAGATTGGATTTCCAACACTTAATCAATCACAGAAGCAGTTAGAACTGACCAAGGGTCAGAATGAACTACTGCAGATAACTAACTACCAAACAGAACAATGGTGTTTTAAAACATTAAATTCAGAAAAATAAAAAAAAAACAAAAAAATATTATAACCATTTCTAATTCTTAGATCTATATTTGAAGTTTAAAATTTTACTCAAAATTTAAATTACAATTGACATAACTTTAACTTATACATTTTATATTGAATAACATTTTATTTCAGAAAAAAATTCTAGTTCAATTATACTATAGTATAATAGTCCCAGGTACAATAAAGGCCAAAGGGAAATAACTCAACTAAAAGACTTCAGAAGAAATCTGTAAAGTATCAAAGCCCAGTCAGAAATAATTAAATTAACTACAAAATTTCACTACAAATAATGAAGGCTAATCAAAAACCTCTCATATTTCCCCCAAACTATGGTGTTTCTACTGTGAGAAGCCTTCAAAGTATCAAAACTGACCATGTTATAATGAGTCAAACATTAATCCACAATAAAAAGCTTCATTTGACTTGATTATGTCAGAAACAATTCCTGTTGTCAGTTCCAGGAACGATGTTTTATTAGATCTGACAGGGTTAAACTCACTGATAATGCTTCAATGCCATTTTTTGACAGTAGAAGAACTCTCTTCTACATAACTTTGGGGTTCTTGATCGTTTTATGTTGCAAGGTTGCTTTGAAAATATGTTCATACCAATTTTATCAGAAATCAGAGCCAGAAAAATTATAAGTATAAGTAAATGGGGGTTGACATCTGAAATTTAATTATTGTAACAGAAGAAATGTGTTTTTTTCTTAACATGTGGTTTTTATTTATTATTCTCTTTATAAAAAAGTTTCCTTTTATTCTTTAGAATGTGGAATTAATGAGCTACTGTAGCATACACTCAGAAAAACTGGAATTATAAAAAAAAAAGGTTTGTTTACCTTTTCTGAAAGAAAATTATTAATTACTTTCATATTCTATAAGAACAATCTTCAGTCATTTTTTTTTTTTTTTTTGAAGTGTAGAATTAAATTGAACATTTTCTTGTTGGCAAAACCATCTGTTCTGAAAAAATAGAGAGTGAAAGACTTTGAAAATTAAAAGTTGAATTCATGTATTTACATAAGCCACATTTCCTCAAAATTATTCTAAAATATTCACAAAAGATTTTCTTTGCATGATCTATGAAATTTTCAAACGGTTTTAAAATAATATGTTTTACATCATATATTTTTCTCATCAAATTTTGCCGTAGTGTTACAAAGGACTCAAAAGCTGATTTCGCAAGATGCAGGAGTGTTTTTGAGATTACTTCATTGTAGAAAAGAAGTCATTTCTTAATCTGTATGAAAATAATCATGAGCTGAAAGAAAAGCAGGCATCCCAAGGGTGAAGCTGACCCGTGAAATTAGCGAAAAAACATTTGCTGGTACTATAATGAGTACATATTAAATCAAATCTCCCTAATTAAATATCCAAAGCTACAGGCTTTGTGTAAACCGAAGAACAAAAAGCCTTGATAAGACTTGAATGGGGGAGTATGTGTCTCGAATGACGAGTGAAACAAATGTTTGCACTGCTGGCACTGGGTGCAATTGGGTACTTAATCAGTTCATTGGCTAATTTCGGCTATAATTATAGATAATCTTAGATCAGTTGTGTTTTACTTGTGTTTTGACAAACATAAACACGGGGAGAGAGATAAAATAATAATTACAGAAGCAAACAGTGTGAAAGACATCATTGTTTATCGACAAAGAT